CTAAAGGCCAAGGTGCTAGATGCTGCAAATTGCATCCAGCATTGCAGGGGCAATGATCACATCAGCAATGCTGTAGGTGCTGAAGCGGGAGCTCAACGATACAGGTGCGGGCACCCAGACACATGTCTTGACAGATCCTTGCGTCCTTGCGCTGCAGAGATAGGATTCCATGGTGCTTTTGCACTGAGGTCACCGGAATGAGACGCAAAGTCCGAGACCTCAGGGGGCCCTGCCATCTATTGGTCCGCAGGGAATCAGATTAGTCAGCTGAGATGGGTAAGAACGCACATCTTCGATGTAGGCCTGGATATCTGTTATTCCGCTCATATGGTAGTTTCCCTAAATAAGGGGACCCCAATATAGACCCCAAAATACTATAGTCCTTATTATGGGGATCCCCAAAAAGGTACCCCTCATTTTGGGAAACCCCATATATCACAATGCAAGGCCTGACAAACGAGCTGTTGGAGCTGAGAAGGAAGATCGCCGAAGGCTTTTTGATCCTGAGCACAGAGCTGTTTCCGATCAGAGAGTCGCACTTGAAATTTAATGTTGAATTGGTAAGATTATTGGGACATGCTTGGTAGATCTAACCAGGGTCCAATGTACAGATCCCCAAGAAGAACGCGCAACCGAGTAAGGAAATGGCTTGGCAACGAAAGAGCAATTCAACATTTGGGGTTAGTGACATGCAAACCTGCAAGACAAAGGACTTCAGGGAAGTAGAAGAGAGATGAGATGGCGAGGGGACCAACGATGGAAAAACAAACAGACATGGTGAAAACTGCAATTCCCGACCAATACACAATTAATGATCAAGACTGAGAAGGTGGATGGAAGCAGCAGGCAGATTTGTCCTCCCTCAGCATGTACCACAGCAGGTATAATTTAGGAGGACTCCCCACCCTGTAATAGTGCTATAAAAGGAATATGAGAGGACCCTAATATATTCCTTATTATCCATAATAGTCACTATTACTGGGTGGGGGGTCCACCTAAGGTATAATAGAAGATCAAGAACCCGGAACCCAAACACGACGAAGACGGACAGGGGAAACAGGTATGAAGTTGGCGGTAGATGAAGTTTCCGATGTTCCAATGCATGAACCTGATAGCTTTGCCCGACGCAGCTCCACTTTTCATGACCCTTCAGCCCCCATAATAGTCCCTACATAATCCCCTAAACAACCCCCTTTGAGGAGTTTAGACTCTAGCTCATATCCCCCTTAACCCAATCCCAATCCCAAACCCTTACGGGAGGCCTTGGCCACTACAGAACTAGTCGTTTGGCAGGTGAGGCGCAAAGCCGCGAGGACCGGCAAAAGTGTCAGGAGGTGAGGGAATCTTATCAGTATTAGTATCATTATTTATTAGTACGATTGTTGTTATTATTATTACTATTGTTATTTCTAGTATTTTTCGGCCCCGCCATTAAAGGGCGGTGGTTTTTGAGCCTCA